GAGTTCAGACGTGTGCTCTTCCGATCTACACATGAGAGTTCATATAAGATAATTTTACCTTTATGATTTGTTGTCATGGCAATATTGATTTATAATTCCAAAAAGAACATTTGAATATATAATTGCATTATTCTCTCTTTTAACGGTTCTCGTGCATTACTCACATATTAATTCGAATAACTCACATGTGATTCGCGACTCAGGAATATTTGAATATTCCCAAGGCGTTGTCGCGATCCATCTCGATCAGCCTCAGGACGATTACGAAAAACGTCCCTAAGCGTTGGCAAAGCGATCCAGAGCATAATCGATGCTCCTAGGCGTTATCGCAATACGTTTCAAATGTACGAGACAAAGTGAGTAATAATATTTTAAAAAGTTGTTAAGTGTTTTCAAAACGTTGTATCAAAGTTTAATAAACATATTGTGTTAATACGAAAAGTGCAGTGGAATATTAAGTTATTTCATCTGATTCACGAAACAGATTCTGTTATTAAGATGCACGTGCCCCTCTGGCCCGGCAACAATTCATCATTCCTAAAAACCGTTCCGAAAGAACTCTGAGGTGGTAAAAAGAAGAGATTCCTGGATACAGATAACATCGTATTCATTGCTAATTTGTTGTAATTGCGGAAGCTTCCCGCGCATCCCACAGCAGTTCCACTGTAGGATGCGCAACCCACAAGCAGACTTCGAACTTTTACCCACCATGCGAAAGCGGGCCAAAGGAGTATGCAGAGGAGTCATTGTAAAAGGAAGAACGAGAATCCACACCAGCAGAAAAAGGAGAACCACCACTAAAAAGATTTCCCAGATTAATACCAAGCGAATTAATTAATGTGGAGATTTTATTCAGAAAAGAGATGATGAGGTTAAGCAAAGAGTTAACTAATCCATTATTAAAGATGTTGACACAATTATGTAAAAGTTGAATTAGAGCCTCCAGAATGTTCCCGCCCTCTGACGGGGGCAAGGGTGACGGACGTGACTGACCTGAGGTCGGGAATTCCTTGAAGAATATCCCATTCTGAGACGGAAAGCCTGCCATTAGACTCGATGAGGTGTTCGATATAATTTCCACCTGATGATCCTGAACGAGGAGGCGGGGGGGACATCCCTTCCATTCCCAGCAGCCAAACCCCCATCAGAATTTACAGTTCTATGGCGAGAAGAGCTGACGCGCCGTATTCCAGATGCAGCATGCGCATAGCTGTGCGATGAAGATCCTTGCGATCTTTGAGAGTTCGTCACTTGCCATGGATCAAGACTATCTAAAATTTCGAACCTGTTATAATCTCTATAGTTAGTAGAGTTCGAAGAGGAGGAGACTTGAGTGGGAGAATTCTGCGCACGAGAGGGAGGGAGACTAGGAAAATTCCGAGGATTCAAGGTAAAATCGGTGGCGGAGCTGTTAGACACTGAATTGGAATCAATTTCTGTAGTGCTTTTTGGCGAGCGGGGATTAGCAATAAGTTTTTTAGCATCAACCAAAGGGATGTTTTTACAGGACGCTAATTTAATAACATCTTTGTGCTTAATCATGGTAAGACAAAGGTGTGAGGTTGCTAGGTGCTTACCTTTACAATTAATACACTGTGGCTCGTTATCTTTCTGCAGGCAGATTTCCTCGTTGTGTGGATCTAACCCGCAGAAGACACATCTGGGCTTGCTTTTACAATCTTTCCCAATATGTCCGATTCGATAACATGAAAAACATATTCTTGCCTTAGGGATATATGGTTAGACTCGATAACGGGCTTTAAATAACATAACTTCAGACGGAAGGCATTGACCTGCGAACTTTACACAAAGCGTCCTGGATGGCACGTATTGAGTTTTTCCATTAATATGCAGTTTTCTATTTAGTTGTTGAATACTGATGACATGCGCCGAAGAAGTTATAGCGAATTCGGCAGCTTGCACTAGTGCGCACTGAGTGCAAACTTTTTCAGTGCCGCACATTCGATCAATGAATAACCAGCCTCAAGAAATTGGTTCTTGTCTATCATAATTGTATCTAAATTACCTGTCACAATAAAATATATAAAATTATGTGAATAATATGCATCTCTTCATTTTTATTTATAAAGAATATATAGAAAGATAATACATAGATGTGTATATTGCCGTGTGTGTGTGTGTGTGTGTGTGTGTGTGTGTGTGTGTGTGTGTGTGTGCGCGCGCGCACTGTTTGTATATGTGTATGCTTGTGTGTATATGTTGGTAAGCTTATAGAAAAAACTATAAATCTATAATATTTTACCTGTCTTTCTTTCAACTTCACATAAAATCGAATTTCCTTCTTTTATCAAACAATTATTTTCGTCGAGAATAAATCTCTTTATTTCTGTTATATCACTCATATTGATGGCCATAATATAAATTTTCTCTGACAAAATTTTATCATATGTATTTCTTAAAATTGCACGTATAATAAATTGCTTCAAACTTAACCTTTCTTCCTGCAATTATTAAATTTATTCATTATCAAATTATTATGAAAATTAAAACTAAAGATTGGAATTTGACTAATCATTTGTTGTAATCAAGTTCTAATTTAATTTTCAACTTTAAGCTTTAACATACCGATTTTGATATCGAGGCTCGAGATCAAGGAGAAGAATTATTCCCCAATCTGCACTCTACACTAAAAAGTGAAACACCGGAGTACCATTTTATACAATTTCAGTGCTGTTTCATTTCAGTGTTGCCCTGAGTTAATGCTGTACTATGGTCGATCTTTGACTATATAATCATGGACCGCTAGTTGCCCCGTCCCACCACCCCTCTCACCCATAAGGTTATGTATCCAACATGAAGTTGGCTTAAACCCCGCCTCGTGTGGCAAATTGCGGGAAATTTAAAGGCTATCAGAAGGATGTAAGAATTAGATGGATGGTTGTTAATAAATATTGTATCAAAATATAAAGAATAATTAATGTATATGA